CCGGGAAAAAAGCTCTTAAATTTTTAGGCTAAGTTAAAATGGACAATTTCTACGGTCCCCTCAGTGTCCGTTTATATATGACATCATATTTGAATTGGGAAAAAATGGGGGGAGGGAGGGGCGTTACAAGAAAGGAAAGGGGTATCCCGCTATGTTGCCCCAGCCCTGATTACAGGAGATTTGTAAACCTGGTGTATGAATACACTTATCAACGGAATGAGACTGTTTTTTTTCCCTGAGAATTCGACAGACTTTGTTTTTCAAAAGGTTCCAGAAGCGATTCAAAGCAAAATCGTATATTTCTACAGTGTAATTAACGAACTCCGCAGTCGAGATGTTCACTCCATAAGAAATAAAATACTAAGGTCTTGTTTGATGACGGCACAAATGACCAGATTTTGAATACCGCCCATGATGCTTAGCGATCGTAGTCCCCACACCAGCTGTGCGACTTTGGAGTTCTTCCCTTAGAGGGGGGTAAGGGCAATGCGTCATTGCTGTTCCACGTGGTGAAATGCTTTGCGGCCGCTCTTCTCTGTCCTTTTCATCGCCATTTTTTCTTCAGCAAGATGCCGAAGATAGTGTGTAGTAAAACCTACACAACTCCACGGCGTCCCTTTGAGAAGGAGCGCCTGAATCAAGAGTTAAAGATTATAGGAGAGTATGGACTTCGCAACAAACGTGAAGTTTGGCGTGTAAAGTACACCCTGGCGAAGATTCGTAAGGCTGCCCGTGAGTTAAGTGGTAGTAGTGTGGTATGAGGGGGGGGGGGGGGGGGGGGGGGGGGGGGGGGGGGAAGGGGGGGGCACAGGAGAGAGTGCCTGGGAAGGAGGTCACTTGGGATTCGAGCGCATGCGCAAAACGAAGGTAACGCCCTTGATTTAGGCACCCCGGCGTATTCTCTCATTGTGATCTTTAGTTTGGCCGACTTTTTAGGCAAGAAAACTGCACATCGTTGTCATTTTGATGGCTAAGGTTTCTCAGCAAATTCGAAGATGTAACCTTTGTATCAGTCATGTAAAAGAGCGCTTTCTTTTCTTTTCGCTTCGTTTGCAATGGTCATCCGCGCGTCTTTGATTAATCAAATCATCAAATTCAAAGTTCGATTTTTCATCGTTTGCACAGATCAATCTTTCATGGGCGCCCCGATTATAAGACTGAAATAAATAAATAAATAAATAAATAAACAAACAAGACAAATAAACAAAACAAAGCTAAACGAATTAGTGTGGTTAATTTTGGAAAATTATCAGATCCTTACCTATTTTATTTTTGATGCCATAAATTATTTTGCTTGATTACTGAAGGCATTATATAATTCCCGATGTTTCGCGCGAGTTGATTTTTATGGACAGTGACTTGGGCAGTCCTGTTCAGCGACATAAAATTTCAGTGAACATTTTACTCACAACCACAGGGGTAGCGGGTTAAGGGTGAATTCGATTAACCTCAGTTTTCAGAAACAATAATCTCGAGTCTACAAATGGCTTGCTCAGGCAACCCTATCCTAGGCCGAGACCCAGAGGCCGTCATTTGTTTCGGGATAAAGGGCACGGCGAAAGTTTTCAAGAACGGTCGAGAGAGCCCCTGGGATGCTACTCTCAACAAACCAGTTCCACGACTCATTGGAATGCTTGTCTCTGATCATGTTTTTGCCAATCGGAGGCCGGAATCTATCGCGCTGCTTTCGTGATCTTCTTATAGGAGGGAGTTTACTTGTAAACCTGCAGGAGAGCTTTCTTCGAGGAGAGTTTTTAAGTGAAAATGGGGGCCACAAAACTAAATATATACCATAATTTAGCATGTTAGCAAAACAAAACAAAACGAAAGGTAAGTTTTTGCAAGATTTCCATTTATTATGCATACATGGTTCGACTCTATTAATGTTAACGCTATTTGTGAGAAAAGATATGAAATTGTTGCGTGTTTAATGATAAATGTATGGGGTTAAATGTTAATCCTACCCAACGAGAAATGCACCAACCGAAAAAAATCAGACTGTTGACTGATCGAAGGTGATTGGTAAACACGAGAGCACCTCTAGGTTTGTTCATGCAACTCTGCAAGCTTACTCCACCAGTTTAGTGCGATCCTCTTGGAGAAATATTTAACGACAAACTTACAGACTTGAAAGGGCGAAGAATTTTCTCCTGCACATGCCTGACAAGTTTGCCGAGGGCGGGCGTAAACAGCCACGCACGATTTCGCGCGCAAATGTATTTTATTCCGACCTGGCCGACCGCCCCCGGGTCTCCAAGGAGGGGCAACCCCCCAGGTCTAATACAATATAACAGTATTTACGCTTAAAAAATTATTTAACAATTATTCTTCCAGCCTGAATGGGCTGTGAGTCAATAGCCCATGAGGCCGAAAGCCAAATGGGCTATTGACTCAGAGGCCATGAGGGCGAGAGGAATAATTGTTTTAGTAAAATCCAACCAGTTGGTCAAAAATATCGAGAATAAAAAAAGTTTAGCCAGATAAAGCTAGACTTTAGTCCCTTTTTGCCGCCAAAAAGCCCGCGCTTTTTGCTGTTAGTGGGCTGTAACATATATCCTTGTAGTAGCTCAACCAATCAGAACGCAGCATTGATAATAGACCACTAGTTGGATTTTACTAAAAGCGTATAGGCTTTCAATGCTCTAAAAGAGTTGAGACGAACCTTCAACGAATTTTCGTTCTAGATGATCATGTAGCTATCACCATTTATAACACTAATTAAACACTGAAAAACTGAAGACCCTGTAAATCTCGGCTGCTTAGGATGCACATTGTCGGAAACCGTTTGACTGTACCTGCCGCTGTTCGAAGGAAGGGGCTAGGCAACTTACTTTTCCGTGTTTGTGTTTGTTTTTAATCGTCTTTAAAGTGGACAGCTTAAATAAGTTGACAGATAACGTAGGACATAATTGACTTCTTCGTTTAGTGTCTTATTTGGTATCTCGCTTTCGCCGCACCGAAATTAAATTTAAAATTTAAAAGCTTTAAGATCGTTTCTCTCACCTTGGCCAAAGACAAACGCTAGTAAAACAATGAAGACGGTCACCAGACTGCAGACGCTGAGCAATGAAAATCTTCCCCGAAACATAAAACCAAACATTGCTTCCTTGCCCTCTTTCCATTTTTCAGCCACAATTTGGACCCAGGATTCGGTTCAAGGCGTGGGTTATCTGGTGTGAGATTTTTCAGGCGAAAGAATTAAAAGCGTGGGATTTGGGTGAAAACAGGCATTTTTAGCGAGACCTTTCTCAAAGATAGTTAGCAAACTTGACTTCGCCACCTGCTAGTAAGCCGCAGGTACAAATGAAAGTTTAAGGTTGAATTATTCACTTCCAGATTTGGTCTTTTAAATTGTAATTTACTTTGATTATTAAACAAGGCCAGACCGTATTTATTACCAGAGAATAAAATAAGCTTGTTTCAAAGTTTATTGGGATATAAATCGATTTTGAAAAGTTACTTCCATGAAAGTGTCAATTAGGGGGTAGTTGTTATGCAAAGCGTGAAGTCAAGGTTCAAGGGACAGAGAGAATGTCAAAAATCCAACTCTCCGTCCATTAAGTCTCTTTGATCATTCACAACATTTCTCACTTTCTGATTGGTTCAAACCTCCCAGGTTATTTTTCACAACGACCTAACCCCTTGACTTGCTCTGAATGTTTGCTCCCACTGGGTCCCTTGGCCGAAATTTACAGTCAAATGTCTTATAAACTTTTAACAGAAGGGATAGGTACAGGTACTGGTATGGGGGCATAGGCAACGCTGTCCGTTAACGGGCGCCGGGACCTGCAGCAAAGTGTTGTGCTGGAAGCTTCGCCCCGAAGTCCAACCCCTTACCCTTTTATATACCATTTTTGACAGACAAAGGTATGGTCCCTTCCGTTTACCTTCTATTGATAAATTGTACCCCTTTCAAAAACCTAGCTTAGAACTTTACATTCCTTTTAACTTCTGTAAATTCACAGTCTCCAGTTTTGGAGCATGCGAAGTGTTCGAAAGTTATTTTTATTACTATTAATTTTGCAGTGCCAGTTGTATAAGTTGTTGTTGTTGAATTGGTACCTATTAGGGGTGGAAATGAATTTGGAACACGCCCATAAAACAAGATTCTCGTACATTTTAGGGGTGTTCTTGAAATTTTCCCACGAGTACCCCTGTCACTTTTATAGGGGAGTACTCCCCCCCCCCCCAGGAAATTCGTTTTCTCCTGGCGGGCCGCCAAATTTTTTGTGGCTTTGCTGCTGGATCGCGCTTCTCTTTCTCTCCCCGAACTTGCAATGGCTAAAATTCTTTGAATGTAGAAGGAAGCACTCACATCTTTGAGAATAGTCCTTATATAGAGGGGGCTCATCTGGCATATTTTAGCCTAACAGGCTCTTAAAATTCAGGCTCTAAGTCACGGGGTTTTACTGTACCACTAAGATCCACCACTGCAATAACTCTGATAACTGGTAACCCAAAAACTTAAGCCCGCTTTACGGACACCCGCTTAATCCAACACCTCAGTCATGATTACAGACAGCTTGCTTTGTTCCAGGGAAAAAAGCTCTTAAATTTTTAGGCTAAGTTAAAATGGACAATTTCTACGGTCCCCTCAGTGTCCATTTATATATGACACCATATTTGAATTGGGAAAAATTGGGGGGAGGGAGGGGCGTTACAAGAAAGGAAAGGGGTATCCCGCTATGTTGCCCCAGCCATGATTACAGGAGACTTGTAAACCTGGTGTATGAATACACTTATCAACGGAATGAGACTGTTTTTTTCCCTGAGAATTCGACAGACTTTGTTTTCCAAAAGGTTCCAGAAGCGATTCAAAGCAAAATCGTATATTTCTACAGTATAATTAACGAACTCCGCAGTCGAGATGTTCACTCCATGAGAAATGAAATACTAAGGTCTTGTTTGATGACGGCACAAATGATCAGATTTTGAATACCGCCCATGATGCTTAGCGATCGTAGTCCCCACACCAGCTGTGAGAGCTGTGCGACTTTGGAGTTCTTCCCTTAGAGGGGGGTGAGGGCAATGCGTCATTGCCGTTCCACGTGGTGAAATGCTTTGCGGCCGCTCTTCTCTGTCCTTTTCATCGCCATTTTTTCTTCAGCAAGATGCCGAAGATAGTGTGTAGTAAAACCTACACAACTCCAAGGCGTCCCTTTGAGAAGGAGCGCCTGAATCAAGAGTTAAAGATTATAGGAGAGTATGGACTTCGCAACAAACGTGAAGTTTGGCGTGTAAAGTACACCCTGGCGAAGATTCGTAAGGCTGCCCGTGAGTTACTAACTCTGGAGGAGAAAGACCCTCGAAGGTTGTTCGAAGGCAACGCTCTTTTGCGTCGTCTCGTTCGTATTGGCGTGCTTGATGAGAGCCGAATGAAGCTCGATTACGTTTTGGGTTTGAGGATTGAAGATTTCTTGGAGAGACGCCTTCAGACACAAGTATTTAAGCTTGGTTTGGCTAAGAGCATTCACCATGCTCGAGTGTTGATCCGGCAAAGGCACATACGGTGAGCGTTTGATCTAAATTTTATTCCCTGTTCATGCCAGTCTTAGATTTAAAATGGAATGTGATAAACGAGAGATGTATGTAGATGGACTTACAGTGATGTGCACTGTTGGGATGATTACTGTAAGCTCACTTGATCTGTTATCAGACAACACACTGTCACCACATTGAAACGCTGTCAGTGTACTGATTGGAGATCATTTAGCGTAGCACCTGCCTTTTCACTGCCTTTATCTAAACTGCAGAATACCCTGCCACTTCACCATGGAGAAAAGGAAATCTCCTTTGTGTTGACCTTTTTCTCCAAAGTGTTCCAACACATATAAAAAAGTAGCCTGTAAGCAAGCTCTCCATTTGGGGGATATTGTGAAAAGTAGATGTGTGAGAGGCATGCAAGGGGAGACATGAAAGTGGGGTGCGGAGGAGAGAAAGGCTTTCCTCGGCCCGTTGCGGCTTCGCTACTTGCTTGCTCGCTCTTGCGTGGCTGGCTTTGCTTGCCCAAATAGGAGAGCTTGCTCGCAGGCTAGTAAAACAGGGTCCTGGAGTGGCAGGAGATAACTAAGTAACATCAAGGTTTTTGGGACACTTTGATGTGACTTAAGTTTATTTTGTTAACCAGTTCCAGGGCTGTCATTAATCTGGGAGAAATTTGATCGTTGGATTTATTTGCATTTCAATATCTGGCAGCCTCATAGCTTCGCCATCTACTAAATAGAAAAATTAGCAAGAGCCTTAATGTTTACTGACAGCGTTGCCCTGTCAATAAGCAAATATATGGGTACTAAAACTGGCCAGTTTTCCTCTTTCTTAAGAGTTCTTTCATTACACAAAAAATATTATATCCTAATACATGAGCAAGTGGTAGTTAGTGTCTCCTATACACCGTATTCACAAATGGCGGACACGTGGGAAAAAACTGGTGCCTAGTCATGAAAGCGAGGCGTTGGAGGATAAACAAAAATTTCAAATGAAGACTTTCAGTGAGCTTCCAGAGTGTTTAGCACGGATTCCACCTAAAATAACTTTGTACGGACTTCTTTTTAAATACAGTTACGTGGGATGTCTTCTGCTTTTAATGTTTAGTAATGACTTGCTGTTTGCAATCAAAAGGGACGCGTATATCTGCAAGGAAACAGGATGATTTTGTAGGTTTTCGAGTCGGTTTCCGAAGCATCAGAAGCTCGACAGGTGGACGATGACTGGAGAAAAGCGGCAAACATGTTGGCCCAAACTTCACATTGAAACCGAGTACGAAAGCCAGCTCACTGTAATTCGGTGAAACAGAAATATAAACAAATCTTGGTGGCAAGAAAAAAGAAATAAGCGACAGATACATGGCCTACTTGTTAACGCAAGAGACGTCTGCCGTTGAACAAAACAGTTCAAGTCGAGATGGAAAAAAGGAAGACAGGAAAGAAGAGGTGACTGAGGTTTCGATGAAGTTATGTTTGATTTTTGTTTGCCAGGACGTTATTCTCTGGT